TTATTTTCCTCTATTTCTTTGCATTGTTCATTTAAGAAGGCTCTCTTATCTCTCCTTGCTATTCTTTGGAAGTCTGAATTCAATTTTCTGTAACTTTCCCTATCTCCCTTGCATTTTGTTTCCCTTCTCCTCTCTGCTATTTCTAAGGCCTCGTTGGACAGCTACTTTGCTTTCTTGCATTTCCTTTTCTTTGGGATGGTTTTTGTTGCTGCCTCCTGTACAATGTTACGAGCCTCTATACAAAGTTCTTCAGGCACTCTGTCCACCAAATTGAGTTCCTTAAATCTGTTCTTCACTTCCACTGTGTATTCATAAGGGATGTGGTTTAGATTATACCTGACTAGCCCAGTGGTTTTTCCTACTCTCTTCAGTTTAAGCTTGAATTTTGCTATGAGAAGCTGATGATCAGAGCCACAATCAGCTCCAGGTCTTGTTTTTGCTGACTGTATTGAGCTTCTCCATTTTTGGCTGCAGAGAATATAATCAATCTGATTTCGGTATTGTCCATCTGGTGATTTTCATTTGTAGAGTCACCTCTTGTGTTGTTGGAAAAGAGTGTTTGTGATGACCAGCTTGTTCTCTTGACAAAACTCTATTAGCCTTTGCCCTACTTCATTTTGAACTCCAAGGCCAAACTTCCCTGTTGTTCCTTTTATCTCTTGACTTCCTACCTTAGCATTCCAACCCCTAGAATGAGAAGAACATCTTTCTTTGGTGTCAGTTCTAGAAGGTGTTGTAAGTCTTCATAAAATTGGTCAATTTCATTCTCCTCAGCATTGGTGGTTGGTGCATGTTGGACGCCTTCCGACCTGAGGGGCTCATCTTCCAGCGTCATATCTTTTAGTTTTTTGTTTCTGTTCATGGGGTTTTCTTGGCAAAGATACTGGAGTGGCATTGCCAATTGCTACTCCAGGTGAATTGCATTTAGTCAGAACTCTCCACAATGACCTGTCCGTCTTGGGTGGCCCTGCATGGCATAGCTAATACCTTCCCTGAGTTACTCAAGCCCCTTCGCCATGACAAGGCAGCAATCCATGAAGAGGACCAAGATTAGAAGACTGCTATCTTGCCACCATCCTAAATGTTACTTGATTAAATAGTACAGTAGAAAATATTACAGTAGAAAAATGTAGATTACGGATGACTGTAGACTGCAGATAACAGAGGAGGTTTGTCATGACAAGGCAGCAATCCATGAAGAGGACCAAGATTAGAAGACTGCTATCTTGCCACCATCCTAAATGTTACTTGATTAAATAGTACAGTAGAAAATATTACAGTAGAAAAATGTAGATTACGGGTGACTGTAGACTGCAGATAACAGAGGAGGTTTGTAGCCTGCAAACAAAATGACTGGGGAAAGAATTACAGAAATGGAGGTTGAAATCTTCTATCTTCAAACAATGCATTCTGGAGGATGGTGATGTTAAGGGAGCCCACGAAAATCTGGGCCATTACTTCTTTTCCAAAAAGATAATAGAACAGTCATACAGCAGGTGGTGCTATATAAACACCATTCCTCTTTTAACTATTGATGCTCTAGATTTGGAAGAGTGATACCAACATCACTACAGATCACAAGGTTAAAAGTCACTGTCGTCAATGTTTCTTTCCAAAATGAGAACTCAGCAATTTGCTTTTCTATACTATATTATAATCAATCATATTACAATATGATCAGTATCACCTGAAATGAGAATTTTTATACATTCCTATATAGAACTGACAAATCTGTTTGTAGCAGATGTACATGAAGAGGAAAAAACTACATAGCAGAAATGCTGGCTATTGATAGAAGAGGAAACATTTTTATCAGTAAAGCTGGAATGTTTTTTTGTCAGCATCTAGTTATGAAAAGAACATGCCTGGCTTTCTCATCATTGCTATACTATCATGGGCAAAACAGCATGCACCACTTTTCTCCCTGCCACAGATTTAAAATAAAAGAAACCTACTCTTTAGATCAGCAAGCAGCTCCTTAGGAGAAAAACTGCATAAATATTATAAATAACTTCAAATGCTGTATTAGCTGATGTTGAATGAAATAGTACAAAATACCCTATGGCAGCTGGGGTCAAACGAGTGTGCAGTTGAGGAGTAGTTGAAGTTGTTGTGGTAGTTAGAGAACCATCAGCTCCACTCTTCTCCCAGTCAAAGAGATCACTCTCAGTCACCCCAAAAGTCTTCATGCTGTTGTCAAAGATGGACATAAGAAGCTATAAAAACAAAGAAAAGGGTTGATAGATCATTTTTATGAGCTAGATAGAGATACTTAATCCTCTAAACTACTACAGTACTGTTACAAAAATCTGCTTTGATGTCCTCTGAAAGCAGACTTAAATGCAAGGTTCAAATATTGTATTTCTTACTGTACAGAACTAAATATTACCAGTAGTCACACTTATAAATAAAATACAGCTGCGCCTTAGACTTTGGAAATAAAAGTTTATCAGAAGCTGGTGGACACACTGCAATCCATGGGCCAAACGTGCCAGCAGCCCCTCTTTGTGTTGCTCAGTGACCCTAGAAAATATATTTCTTTTCCCTTGTGGTTTTCTGCCAATATTCAACAACAAACTACACAATCTAAACAGAAACCTTAATAAGGTTACCTGCAAGTATTTTAAGAGGAAACCTTCAATAGCCATTCTATTTCTAGGTGTTCCCCACACATCTTCCCCTTAAATCCCAATTGTTTGTTACAGAGAGGATTAAGCCTGTTGTTATTTAAATCCTTACATGTCAAGTACTGTTTAAGAAAGCTTATTCTGGAGGAATACTAACCAGGGGGAACAACAAAGTTGTGCTTACCTGGTACCAGTGGTACTTTATTAAAGTAAGCATGAATAAATACTTTCAGTGTGTGGAAGCTGCAGGAGTTATGAGATTAAAGGAGGAGATATTTCATTACAAAAAAATCACTGCTGCTGGATGATGTTATTGGCAGTGGAGATTCATATTGTTTTTACATCTTCCCTGCTATGGCTTCTATGGCTTCCTTGGAATGAAAGGGATTACACTGGGCTTGGAAAAGCTAAGGGACAAAAGTAGGAAGTTCTTGTAGGCATCTGTGGCAATCACCCACATCACTCATGCCATTCATATTCATGAGCTGATTTGCATGAACCTATGAGAGGACTGGAGAGGCAGAGTCAGCAGTTACATGAGGCTTGGCGGGAGAAGGAGTCAGATAGAGATTAGGATGAGAGGCAGATAGAGATAGATATAAATAAGGGCTGGTTAATCAGAGAGAGAGAGAACAGATACTGAGATAGATAGGGATAATTAGAGAGATAGAGCTGATTAGGAAAACAGGTAGAGAAGGTGGTAATGATATTCCCAGAGAAAAGAAGTATGTACTAAGAGAATTGTTGATGAATTGCTTATGTATAATGTGTATCTGGAGAACTTCTGTTATTATTCAGTCTGCTTCACTTCAATAAATAAGTTCTGTTCCTGTTCACAAGTCAAGTGTTCGGACAAACGTTATACTGTGGATTGAGGTAATCCACTGGTGGCAGCGAGAAGAAAATGTGTCATGAGCCTTTGTGAGGAAAAACAAGCAGGGGCCACAAGGGCAATGCCACAGCATCCTTCAGTCTAGAGAGACTATGGTAATGTGCTTTGAATAGAGGTCTTGGAACAGCATCTAGTGTGGCTGAGGAGGCCAATTCAAGAATGACAATCCCTTCCACACTGAAGACAAATACAATCTGTCCCCTTATCTTCCCTTAGCACACCTAAAACTCTCCTTGGTTCCAGGGTTAGAACTGAATCTCTTAGAACTAGCAAGTTCTTAATTACTAAAAATCACCCTGTACGAGTAATGATATCCACAGGCATTAAGGTATGCAACAGGATTTCCGGTGGTCTAATAGTAGTGTCCCTATGTCTGAGGGCTGGAAAACCATGTACATGACAACATTAATTTTACTGCAAGAATTTTGATGAATAATGTAAAATGTTCAAATTATGGTGTGAAAAAACTCTTATTTACTAGTTCTACGTATATTACATATGTATATTAAACTACATTACATAGATAGCTGCATATATTTATTTGTTCTTTATTGATCTACACTGTTGCAAACTGTGATAATTCAAAAATACTGTAACTTACTTTTTAAAATGAAATAAAGAAAAAAGGAACAAAAAATTAGCTACTTAACCATTTTTACCACATTCCATTCTACTTCAACATCCCCTTGGGTGTATGTTTGGCCCCCTAGCTTGCCTATCTAGAAAACAATCACTTGCCCCTTCCAAAGTTGCTTACTCGCGAATTTGATACAAATGTAAGAGTAGGTGATATCTTTATAGACCACTAATAATACTATCTGCTAGCTTTTTTGGAATAGGACTGTCCATTTTGTCAGTGTAAAGAAGAGTCCCAAAAGTTCATGGCACGAAACACTACGTGTTTTTCTTATGTGTAAGTTAAGAAAGATGCAGGCTGCACTGGAGTTTTTGCTTTAAAGTTACAGTTGAGAAAGCTGTTAATTTGTTATCATGCCCAGTTCTTCGAACAAAGAAGTTCAGGCCTATGCACACATCTTTCTGTTTCACTTTCCTTTGAAACTACAGGTTTCTGTTTGGCTGGAGAATAGGGTGACATAGAAACCCAGGAGTTGAAGAGATAAATCAGCTTAATTAACATGTTGCCACCGGGTGAGAATTTTTTTTAAACTGCATTGTCTTACTATCTCTGGACGAGACAATCTCTACAGCAGAAATAGCATCTTCTATCCCCCACCACTGACTGAGCATCAGTGAATCTGGAGAGAGGACAATATGCAGGGAGACACAAGGAAAATAAATTGGACATTAATTAGATATTTAATTATACTTCAAGGAAGGAAGTTTGGTATTACTTTGTCGTTATAAACAAGAATCTTTCTCTTGAAAACATCATTGGCAACAACTCTGGGAAACTAAACTTAGTTATGTTACTTGAAATAGCTATCTAAGGTGCTGGGAAAAAGACTAGAATCAATGACCTTGAACACTTTATGGCTGTTTGGAATTCCCTTTCTTTTTGAGGAGGGAACTGAACTACAGATAAATTAGAAGTCAAATTGGAATTTCTAAACTGTATCCTGGGTTTTGAACCTGAGTGGACTTTGAGCCTTTAGGCAGGGAAATCTCTCTACGTCTGAGACTGGATTCAAGCTTAACCCTAAAGATGATCAATCCATTAAAGTGGATATATGGAAGCAAGTATTGATGGAACCGGACTGATTATTTTAAGCATCTGGACAACTTTCACTTGGAATACAATTATGTGACACCTGGGACATAATGCTATAACAAGGACAATTTTGGGATGAAACAAAATCTATCCTTCAAGAAATTTTAGAAACAGTGAGATACCATAACGAAGAGGCCAAATTATTCACGAAGCAGTTGAACAAAAACTATAGTGAACAAGAGACAGGGAATAATTAACAACGAAATGAGAGAGTGGTGGATGATGTATGCCAATCAAAAGAGGGGCTGGAGGAAACTAGAGGAGAAAACCTAGGAGATTTAATTCTAACCCTGGAGCCAAGGAGTGTTTTAGGTGGGCTAAGGGAAGATAAGGCTCTAATTAAAAAGAGCCTGGAAGATCTACAGTGGGGTCTCTACTTAAGAACTTAATCCGTATTGGAAGGTGGTTCTCAAGTTGAAAAGTTCTTATGTTGAATCTGCATTTCCCATAGGAATGCATTGAAAACCATTTAATCCGTATCTGCTCTTTTCCGTCCATAGAAACTACAGTGGAACCTCTACTTAAGAACTTAATCCATTTTGGAATGGTGTTCTTAAGTTGAAACGTTCTTAAGTTGAAGCAAAATTTCCCATAGGAATGGACTGAAAACCAATTAAACCATTCTGGCTGTTTTTTTGTTATGTAGAGGTGCGTTCGTACATTGAAGCA